TACAATTTGGGAGAGGGGCAGCGGAGCGTCTGCAGAGGGGGCGGGGACGTCTGGAGCCGAGGTATTGAATTGCACTCATTGCACCGATTATGTGCAGCATTTTTTATGCAAAGCCTTTGAGAATGTATAACGCAGGGGAATTATTATTTTTCAGTGAATAACGTTTTAACAGGAATAGGTGGAGTGCAATTTTTCTACTTCTGTTATTTGCTGTTGTGTCTCAAATAAAATGCATAATGACATTACAGCTTTCATTGATTTATTTCAAATTTGAAACAATGTATAGCCTGTAAGGTGTAAAAAAAAAAAACTAAAAAAAAAACAAACCAATTAATCAAATCGTATTGTGGTGTATTCTTGAGTATCGAAAATAATCGAATCGTTGGGTCAGGAAATCGATACTGAATCGAATCGCCATGACGGGTGTGCATTTAGACCCCTATTCTGTTTATTATGAAGTCATGCTTCACCAACAATCATCTACTTACTGACTGGGGTCGACATGAAGAAAAAGTTAACAGTTTTCTTTTTTTTTTGTGGCTCCGTTTACCATTCAGGTGCTTGTTGTTACCCAAGGGAGATGGAAAACAGGACCAAAGGGAGGGGCGTGCAAGAACAGGCTGCAAGGCTTATTTCACATAGAAATATCATTTGAGTTCCTAGGATAGGGAATATTGACTCTAAATACAATTTGTGGAACCTTTTAGGGCTATATGCATATTAAAAACTGTTTTAAGCCATTATGGAACTAAATCTGTCACTTTATTTAATTAGAGCTAAACAAATGCTGAATGTAGAAATAAGAAACTCCATTTATAAAATAGACTACTTAGCAGACGTCATTTTAACAGTTGTGACATCATCATCCTCAACTAGGGTTGTCACGATACTAAACTTTTCAACTCGATACCGATACTAAGTAAAATATCCGATACTCGATACCATTTTCGATACCACAAGAATAAAAACAAAGACTCTAAAATTCAACAGAAATATTTTCATTACTAAAAAAATACAAGAAATAAATAAAAAAACAATAAGAATATTTTGAGGTTGTATGCTGTGCACAATATTAAGCAAGCAAGCTTGATAAAAAAACGTACAAAATTAAAATTAAGTGTTCCTTCCTTGGCTATGCTTTGCACACATAACAGTGACACTAGCCAAACCAGTTAAACAAAAATAATTCTCAGCAGCTGCACCTGTTACAAAAAAAAGTCTGAAAAGTGCACAGAATTATTCAATCACAGTGTTCAGAAAGTGCATTTTCCACTATTCTGCACTTTAGATGGCTATATCAATTCTTTTGAAAATGAGTATTGTATCCGGATACAACGTTTCAGTATCGATACTTTTTTGAGCATCGATACTTTTGACAACCCTATCCTCGTCATGATAAAACTGCACATCATCAGTGCCAGGAGCACGTTTGATCAGCCTCCGTTAAGTCGACCAACAGATTATAGAGTCCAATCATCATTTCAAATACATTTAATCAATAGTTTTAATGAATTTAAACTAATATATCAAACCAGGTGTTTCAGTTTAAAGGGTTCTGATCTAACTCTAACGTTAACCTTTGATTTTCCTCCTGAGCAAAAATACTGAAATACAAAAATAAGCCAGTCTATTGAAAGGCTGCTCAGAAATAAAAAAAAAAAATATCAAAATAAGCCTCCATGACATTTCTTTAGTTTATCAAATTGTTCTTAAAGGAAAAGTCCGCTCATATTCACAATTTCAACTTCTGAAAGTACTTTAAATATGAAATAATTACATCCTGTTCAATAACTGATCAGTGTTTTTAATTAAGAGTAATTTTCATTTGAATGTGCTTTACTTTACATCCATGTTTGTCAAAGTTCTTGTTCTTTTTCAAAACCTTCAATTCAGAACAATCCCATTAATTTCTGATACTTTTTAAAAACTTCCCTTTCATTGTTTCCATAATTAGTCTGAAACGTGCCTTAAACAGCACGCTGCATTTCTCTTTTGCACATCAGAGTTTAGCTGCTTCTCTCTTGTACCAGACAGCAGCCAATAAGGTCTGAGCAGAAAAATCCCCGCAGAAATCCCCTGAAGAAAACGAGCCGCTTACCTTTCCATAAGATGACAGCGAGCAGCTGGTGGAGTTTTGGGTGACCTAACTTGCCGGATCCTCCAGTGGACCATTTCAGGGCTCTGGAAACAAAAGCCACCCTCTCTGGGGAGTTTGGGTCCATCAGGCTGAACAGCTTGGCCAGATGTTCTGCTCCAGACAGAAACAGAACAGAACCTTTTATTATTCCAGATTAATTCCTTTATAGTGCCGTTTATGTAAATCAGAAATGTGATGGTGGACCTAAATTAAACATTTCTCATCCTGGTTTGCAGAAAAGCATCATATACATAATAAACATGCAGTTAGAAAGATCCATCTGCAGCAGTGATATTTCATTTCTTTGAGATGACGATATCATTTGTCAGCCAACCCCTGACTTGCTCGATTCAGTGGGCCGGTTATCTCTCAGTCGCACAAAGAAAAAACAGCAAGTATAAAAATAGATAAATGCAGACAGCTTTAAAAATAAATACTATCAGCCGGTGCATCATCAGACTGAAACTCACCTAATATTTCATCTTCTACCTTCGTATCGGACTTCTCCAAAACCTCCAGCACCAGCATGGAGAGATCTGCTGCACTGTTTTGCTAAAAAAAACAAACAAAAAAAAACATAAAAAGGCCATTTCGTCCATTTTCACAGAGAGGTTTGTAAAAATAAGCATTAATCTGTCATAAAGCGACACAGACACAAACATGTGACCATTCACACATAGAAAGTTCTGGCAACGTTATCAGTCTGCAGAGAATAACTAAAAATAGCTAATCTTTTTCTGTAGCAGACTGATGGATGTTTGAGTCTTTCTCGGAATCATCTCTGGGTTGGTCAGAGTCCTAGCCCCCCCCCTTTTTTTTTTCTCCAATTAACTGTCTTTGTGTTCATTCTGCCAGATGTTTCAGTTTGCTTGAAAATAACACAGTAGTACCAAATAAAGCAGTCCTCTTTTTTGAGGGAGCTTGAGATGTCATGCACCTAACTAGGCCCAGAGCATCACTGATCCTCCACTGTACTTGGCATAATTTAGAGGGTTGTTTTCTGTATTATTTCCCTCTCATATTTTACACAAACCTACTGGCCATATAACTAACAAAAGAGCGCCAGCATTTATCAAATTCTACATGTTTATGTTCAGCTGATAGAGCAGAAATGCTTTTTTCTGACATTACTTTACAAACAAATAATGTCTTGTTAAAATAAATTATATAAAAAGGCAATAAAGAGAAGTTTAAATTATATTTTCTATTATTTTCAAATGTTCCAGTATGAAACGATGCTCCTGCCACATTCATCGTCTTATGTACCTGGTTATAACTGAAGAAGAGAAGAGCCCCATTGTACATCAGCTCTCTGGCTTCAGCATGTTTTCCCTGTGACATATACCTGATGGAGGGAAAAATGGAATATTAGACATTTTCTCATTGGACTGAAACTATATTTTTATAAAGCACATTACAGTAGCACATCAATTCAAAATTCTGTGCATGAGAAAAAAAAGATTAGTTCTTTTTAATCCAGCCTATTTCACATATTGGAGATTTATGCAGGCAAATGAATTAGGGAAGAACCAAATTATTCTAACATCAGGCTGAAGGAATAGGCTTGAATAAATCTTATTGGACAAACTCACTAACGTAATTTTATCTTTAGATGTTTGTATTTTTGGATGAGAGAATTTTATTAAACACTTCCAGATTAAATCAGACAGCTACAGCAGCAGATAAATATGACTGCAGGCTACATGGGCATGTCTACCGATCATGCTTAATAACATGCTACCCAACATAGCTAAATCCTGTCACAACAGCCCACCGTAAACAAACCACCTTTGTGTGATGGCAAGTAAACATTTAGCTATAATACGTTTATTTTTTCTACATTAATTCAACTGTGACGAAGAAACAGCTGTCTCATGTGCTTATCTCAGTAGCTTGGCTAACAACTCTGCTATCATCAGCTCTCACACACTGCCTCTGCTAAAACGGTAACCAGCCAATAGCCATAGACTTTCTAAAGAACGAAAGGTCAACTGACCAATCACGTGCAGCGCCTATCAGAAGTAGGCGGGTCAAGTTAGACAAGCAGCCAATCGCGTGTGAACAGCAGTGAAAGAAGAGTTGACAGCAGAATGATCTGGAACAGGTAGGCCTCGAAGCCGAATGGAAATTACAAAGTGAAGCTAGAAGCGAACACAGCGGCCATACCCACCTAAAAAATAAAGTTCTGTACATCTGGTGAGCTTCATAGTAGTCCCCCTTTTCCACGCTTGCTCGAAGTTTCCCTTCGACTCTCTGAACGCCTCCACGGTTCCTGACGCTGGAGCACCTCAGAGACTCCGGCTCAGCCATGGTCACCAGCTCCGCAGCAGCACAGCTCAGCGCTGGGAGACAGACCAAACCCTTTTAACCGAACTGGCCCTCCTCGGCTGCCGTAGTCGGGTTAGTTCTTCTAAGTGGAGGCAAGATACCAATATCTTACCATCCCTTGAAACGTTGGTAATAAGAGATTAGAAAAAGTTACCGTAACAGTCATAAAAACACTGTTGAAATAAAATTAACACATTTTTTTTAAACAAATAGTACTTATAAATACCTATTCGAAAATCAATACAATAACAATAAAAACAATAAAAACATATAATGAATATTTATGATCATTTATCCTTCTTTTGTTCCATGGCACATTGCTCACTGTGAGTATGTAGTTGTGTATCTGTTCTGAATCAACTATGTAAATGTACCACTTCAAACTTACTTGAATTTTTTTTTTCCAGAAAACGAATTTTAAATTTCCACAAATTTTTATCACACAGCGTTTAAGAATTAAATTTCATGTGGAATGTATAGCATACTCTTGTCCATAATAGAGATGAGCATTGGCATGGGTTCAGTGATATGATACGTGTCACGATATGTGGGTCACAACACAATATTATCACAATATTGCAATATCACTATATATTGCAATATTTTCCCAGCTATCAAATTAAATGTGTAGGTAAAAAAGCAATTGCTGTATATGTTCATTTAAAGATATTGATGATTTAGGTATTTTGGTATCCAAGATGTTCAGGGTTTGAGTCATTCCACGTCTTCCACTGTGACTGCCGCAACCATAGATACTGCGCTGCGCCGCACAGCGCTATCTGCCAGGCTGACGGTGCAGAGGTAGCCCATTTTTCCTTATTGTTTTAGGTAATAATGTTTAGTTTTAAAAAAAAATAGGAACTGAAAAATCGATCTTTCATCGGGTTGTCGAGAATCATGATATATCGCCAAATATATTTTTTCCCACACCCCTAGTTCATAATTTGAACATTTTTTCATGAGTAACTGATCAAGATTCTGCTATAAACTCATTTTATTAGATTAAGTCTTTTATAAACAGGTTTTAAAAACATTTGATTTACTTAGTTATCCTACATTTTCTGTACTTTTTTGAAGATGACAATAGAACTAAGCTTAATTAGAGTTGAAAAGTAAATTCAATTTTATTGCTCAATTTAATAAGTGATTGACTTACGAAGGTAAGATAAGGAATGCTTTTTTGTCTCACAAGGAAGGAAATGTAGGTGTGACAGTTGCAAATAAAGAGAAGCCATAAAAACCTTTTCCTATATATATTAAAAAAAAAAGAATAGGAATGTAGAATTTGAAGATGTAGTAATGCTGCTACCAGCTTAGGCTGCAGGAGGACCCCTTTTCCTCACTCTGTTACTTTCTCCCAGTACACTCCAATTTTGTACGGTTTTGTTGTTATTACAGGTTTTAACTTAATGTTTTTTCTCTCTGTATAGTTGATTAAATCTGGGCTGGTTTTCTATGTGATATAGTCCTGGAGTGGTGGACATCAGCTACGCTTTAGCTGCAAACAGTTTCACCTTCTCCTTCTCTAGATGAGCCCCATCTTTCAGTGGGGGCTCATCTGTCTATTTCCTAGAAAAAATCTATTGCCTGTGCTTTTACTGTCACTGACTTTATTCCCTATTTTTATCTTCAAGAATTCAATACAGGCTTAAAGTTAATCTTTTTTGCTTTCTTTCTCTCCAAGAAGAAGCATCTACAGGAGCTACTACAGCTATTAACTCTACTTGCATATAAAATATTCTTGGATCTATGGCTGTTCCGTCCTTCTAAACCAGCAGTCAGTGGACTCAGATAACTGTTCAAACAGCCTGGTTCCGGTTGTTGCTGGATGTTTCCCTCTGTTAAAGATGACTTTTCCTCTCCACTGTCACCATATTTTATAATTTTATAATTGAACTTTATTGTCCCACAGTGGAGAAATTCACTCTCTGCATTTAACCAATCCTTGCACAGGAACCCAGAGTGCAGGCTGTGGGGACTGACCCGGGTATTTGCAACCTTCTCAGAGCACAAGCGCACTGCTCTAACCACTAGGCCACCACTCCCCATTAGCACTCTTTAGATAAGCTGAATTAAAGCTACAGTGTGTAGTTTTCAGCGACATCTAACGTCCAGACTGCAGACCGCAGGAACATGAACATCTCCCCCCCACCGCTTCTCCCCCCCAACAGTACGGCAAGTGTTACGGGACAAAATGTCTTCCACAACGTCCACATCACCTACCTTCTCAAGTGATGAGGTTTGTTTACATAGATAATTTTACAGATAGTATTTCATTAGTCTGTGTAGGGTATAGATTTCAGTA